ATCCTTCTTGGAGCTTATGCAAGGTGAGAGTCAGGCAAGCAGATCCACCAGGAGAGTGGATGGAAGGAAAGGCAGGGAGCTGCTAAAAGAAGCAGCTGGGAGATGAGCAAAAAGTGAAGACCAGTAAAATCCTGCTGGGTACGTTAATGAGCAACATTGGATTGGAAGTAATTGCTTGGTAAGCCTCTAAACAAGCAGATTAGTATGCCATGGCATCCACAACTCTGTGAGGAAGTGCATCGAGGATGGTAGGTCAACAGTAAATGATCACCTGCAACAGCTTTGCCTTGCTGAGAATAGCTAGATATAGGCACTAAAACATATGTTTATACATATGTATGTAGAGGATGAGGATCACAGAATTGTAGCATCGTTAAGGTTGGGAGACCACTAAGATCATCAAATCCAACCACCAGCCCGTGCCTCTCCAGACCATGTCACTCAGTACCATATCTACCCTTGTCTTGAATGCCTCCTGAGACCGTGACCCCATCACCTCCCTAGGCAGCCTGTGCTGATGCCTCACCACTCTTCCTGAGAATCACGTCTGTGATTCTTTCTCCTCCTTAACAACTCTTGAAACTTTTGGATAGCCTCCAAAGATTCTGACAGAAGGGATGCGACACTCTGGCAGGATTTAGGAATATACATACTTGGGAGAAGAAGGTCCTGCTCCCATTCCCGTACCTGCTTTATGAGACCCCAGCTTGGATCCTGATGGTGGGGTTTGCACATGTTGGGTGCTGGAGAATGTAGAGAGTAAGACACAGAGCTGTATGTGACACTTACAGATCTGCACCATATGCTCCATCCCACTGCAGGCCCAGGCTCTCCTCCGAATCAGCTCCCAGCCTGTCTCGACATGAGGTTAAACCCTCACTAGGGAGCAGGAAGGCAGAAAAGCAGCAGATGGAACCAATCAATTTGCCACCCAAAAAGTGATCAGTTGGTGGAGACTCCTCTCCTTCCAAAGGCAGAGTGGGAACATGCAAGAAAGATCAGTGGGCAGCCCATCATAAACCCTGAATGTATTTCCAGCCATAAAATGCTTGACATGCCTTCGAGAGGCTGTTGAAATCCTTGATTTGCAGCTGGCACTCATTTTCCATCACAGGTAGTAAAAAGACTCGGCCACAGTGGGGTCTGTTGCCATCCCCCAGCCCACTGGGACACACACACCTCCTCCTGCTTCCTTCCCAGGGCTCTCCTTTCCCTTCAAACGTGGATCTGGACCCGGGACTGAGATATAACGAGCAGGAGCAGCAATTTCAGGAAGTGGTCGGGCCCTGTAAATCCTGGCGGGGGCTTCCTCTGTCAGAGGAGCCATCCGGGGCGCGGGACATGTGCGAGCTGAAGTCACGGCTGTTAGGAAGGTATTTGTTCTTTGGGCCCCCGTGGGCAAACCGGGTTGTGGTAACATCTCTCGAGTCGGGATCTGGTTGCAGCAATAAAGTTGGGCGGGTTGGGTTCCTGGCTGGGCAGGAAGGAGCCATTGATCAATGCCACCCATCCTTCCCACCTTCCTCCGGCCCCGGGGTTGATGTAAGGGATACCGGGAGGAGTGGGAAGGAAAGCTAGAATGGTGAGGAGCAGAGGGTGGCACGGCCAGGGCAAGGACATGGGGAGGTTAAGCACCAACTGAGCACCACAAATGTATCCAGATAGGGGCTGCAGGTGGATGCAGTTCAGTCTGCAGCCATGCAAATGCATCTGCAGCAATAACAAGGACCGGGGGGAAGAGGGCCTTCCAGTTTCTCCATCCATGTGCTCAGAGGACATCCCAATGAGTTCACATCCCCCAGGTACCCAGGCTGCAGCAGCTCTGTGACTCAATGCCCCAGCAAACAGTGCTGGATGCTGATGGGAGTGCTCAGCCATGCCCTGACTGCTGGATGCATGCACCCAATGCACCAGCATCATATCTGTGAGCTTACCTCAAGTGGAACTGGGAGAAATTCAGAGGCAGTTCTTTATCCTATGGGGCTGGAGGGACAAAAGGGGACCCCAGTCCAGGACAGAAAATAAGGTAATGCTGTGGAAAACTAACTCTGCTGCTGAGATCATTGGTGGATACACTCGTGCTCCCAGTGGGGAAAGCTTTGGCATTTGGCCTGGGACACAGCACCTCTGACAGCTATTAAAGCTCCATCATTTTTGATCCCAACCAGATATAATGACTATAATGAGATTGATATTACTAATACAGCTAACCATTGTGGTGATACTAATAAAACAATATTGTGCTCCTCCATCCAAGGAGCTTAGGGCTTTTAAAAGAGTTTCAGTCTCATGGCATCCATCCCATTTCAGGAAAGCTTATTTAGACAGCAGCAAAGCTTCCTCGCCAGCTTTGTGCAGCATAGCCGCCTCCAAGGTGGAGCACAGCAGCTATTTATGAGCAAGCAATAACCACGCACTGCAATCTGGGCTAGGCAGTGAATGCAAATACCACTTCCAGGGCAATTGTAGGGGTTAGAGAGAAGATAATGTACCAGGAGACTCTGCTAGGCTTTTAGGAGATGTGTTTGGGAATATTTTTGCAGAGCTCATATCCACCATCAAGAACTCACCAGCACATGGCTCCTGCAGGCTCAGAGGAACACAGAACTAGTTAGCAGCATTGGTGTGAGTGGGTCTGAGGGGTCATGCCGGGAAATGGCACATTGTCAGAAACATCATTTCAGCTGCATTTCATTGCCTTTTTCTTCAAATGAAAAATTTCAGGAGTAAATGAAGCCAATGCACTGTTTCACTGTGATTTGAAATTTTTTTGCCTACTGTTTTTTAAAGTAGCCCTTCAGCATGCCTCAAGCTCCTCATCTTCTTCCAGTGCATCATTCACAGCTCAAAACCATCATTCCTCAGCTTCTGTGGCACACCATAGGTACTTGGTGTCCCATTTACTCAAAAAGATGCACAATGGCAAAACGAAAACACAATGGCTTTCAGCATGATGGGGAGAGGAGGGCTGAGGGATCCTGTCCTGCCTCTGCCTCGCCACTGCCTGAAGAAGAACAGGAGCTCACCTGGCACCCTGGAGACAAATTTCCAGTAGGGAAGTGGCTGCCACCACATGTCAGGAGTGATTTGCTCAGTGAGAGAGATGAGCACCTCCAGCACTGACATCAGGGGACAAGCAGAGGAGAGGATGAAAAAGCTCATGCTGGGCAGCAGAACTGCATGGTAGGGTGAGAACCCAGGCTCTGAGGACAGCTGAGCTCATAGATGGCTCATGCGGCTGTCTGATGCTGTGCTGAACGCCTTCAACAAAACTCACTCCATCTGGGATAACTGTTGAAGAGCTGTTAGCGCAATGCTGAGTCCCTGCACGTTCTGTGCAACCAACTGGATGTGCTCAGGATCATGATGTGTCAACGCAGCTCATCTGCTGTGCTGGCTGCCCCACAGCCTTCCTCTGAGCTCACCATGGAACAGCAGGATGGGCTGCATGATGCTGACCCCCTGACATCCCATCTCAGGCTTGTCAAGCTGAAAACGTTTCCTATTCTTTAAAATGTTTTTCCAGTGTGAATTCAGTACTGGTAAAAAACACTGGACAGCAACACATGTCATTTATCCATGGAGCTATAGATTCTACAGCAATAACACTAATGCCCTGTTATTTGCCTATTTATAAGGCCAGCTATGCAGCTGTCAATTCCCATGCAGTTCCCAAGCAGAAACCAGTTGCAGTGCACACTGCACATGTGTGCACACACAGCAATGGCTCATCTCAGCACACCGAATTGTCACCAGCCCTCAAGGTCCTTCCCTGACCGCTCCGGCTCAGCAGTTTCCCATGGCCAGGATGCCAGCTGCAAATTGCTTTCAAGGGCTGGACTCCTACCAAGCACAGCCCAAAGCCTGGCATCGCTGCATGTCCTACAGGACCACAGGTGTATTTTTGCTTCCCGTACAGACAACCGCTTCAAGGCCTAGTCCTCTTCAAGGATGCTCTTCATCAGGAATGGGCCTTCGGGTAATACCCCCTTCCTGGGATCTAGTCTCTCCTTTAAGATCTGGCTGCTCTCCAGAGCCCTTTCAATATATCTCATTCTCCTCTGCCCTCTCGTCATCGAAGCATTTTTGCCATCTGCTTATATGTATTGCCTTCAGGAATAACTCCCTTTTTATTTTTAGATTCCATGGGCAAAATGTGGTCAGGCAGCAGTGGGTGGGGGTTACAGTTTCTTGAACTTCCACCTCACAAAGATACTCAAAGCATGGAAGAAAAACCCCAACAGAACACAATCCCCAAACAGGCAAATAGACACCAGAAATTCCACAGAGGCAGTGTGGTACTGGCACCACCTTGCTGAAGCCCCACTCTGCCCCTCTGCACATGGTCCTCGCAGCCTGCCCGTGTCTCCTTGCCTCTATTTATACTAAAGCCCTTGCAGAATAAAACATCCATGTAAAATCCAATTTCCTCTGAATCTCTCTCGGAGACGAGGCCCCGAGATTGAGTAGATAACCTCTGCAGTAATTGCCTGAACCACTCCTGTTTGCTGGAAAGGTGAGATCCATTTTTCAATTATCTATCTGCAGTGACAGCAGCGAGCAACGGAGCTAAGAGGAAGGAGAGAGAGAGGGAGAGGAAATCCAGCCAACAAGAGCCGTCTGTGTCAATCCTGGCAAACGGGAGGTACGATAGATGTGGTCACAGTTCCTGCCATCAATATCCTCTAATATAAATGTCAGCGATGCCATTTTACCCACAGTCATTTCCCACAATGCTGATTACATTATCGTATAATAGAGGGGCGCCAGCCGCACCGCTTTCTCTCCTAACCCTCCTCGCGGTAATGTGTCAATAGCCTGCCTCCATGAAACAAGTCAATTTTCTGCAGGCTTGGCAGCGGAATAAATCTGCCGACTATCTAGAGAGCTGGAGATATTTATACACACCGCGTCCTCTCGCTCTCTTTCGCCCTCCCCCTCCCCGCGCGTGCAAGCATAGATGTGTGTCCTCAGCAGAATTGAGTGATTTTCAGCCCAGACTCAATAAGAAGAGAATTTAGGGCAGTCCTACAGCTTGGCTTCCAGTAACAGCCCTACACGTTTATTTTCTTTAGCTTAACAGGAAAGAGAGAATTATGTTCAGATTTATATGACAAGGGCAGTTCTACCAAAACGCTGCGATAAGCACCATGGAAGGGGGAGGAAGGTGGCAAAACCCAGGCAGGCCAGTGGCAGAGAGGGATTGCAACACCTCGCAGGTCACAGCAGGGTTCCTCTGGGAGCCGGAAAAGCAGCTCTTATTTTAACCGACAGCTCTGCTTTTAGTGCATGTCCAAAGCACACAGCAGCGGAAGGAGGAGGGAGGCATGGGCTGCTCCATCCCTGCTGATGGATGAGGGTGGAGGTGTCTGGCTCAGCTCCCGCAGACAGAGTGCTCAGTGGGGACAACACGCCCTGCCCACCTTGAGGTGCCCATTCTCCTTGGGCTGTCCCCAGAAGACAACTATTACAACCCACTTCCTGCCATGCCTGGCAAGACCAAGAGCAAATAGAATCTTGCCTTCAGATTCCCAGGCTCTGTTTTGGTTTATTTTGTCTTTATTAAAGACTTGCAAACACTCCATCTGTTTTCATCAGAGTTTTGCGCAAGAGGCAAATAATGATAAGGTCATTGCTTTTGGCTGGATGGCTCCTCCCTCCTGCTCCAGAGCACAGCAGTTTCTGGACAGGGAGCTGGCATGTCCTTCACCAGCAAGTTCACCACCTCCCACCAAGTGATGGAGAAAGCTCCATCCTGGAAGACACCGAAGATGAACAGTACGCAGTGAGACCCACGGCTCCATCACACCAGCTCCCCGCTCTCTGATCTGGTTCAGTCATATCTGAACGAGCTGCAAGTGGTCAGCCCCTGCCAGTGAGAGAGGACTATGCTAGGGGTAGCTCAGAATGAACTGGCACCACCGTCTCAAGCGCACAGAACCCTCAACTCCAATTCTTTCTCCGTGCTATGTTTGTCTGGAAGATTTCTATTCATCCTGAGCTGGGTAAGGCCCTACCCACTGGCAGAAGGGAGAGATTTGCAAGGAAAAGAACCAAAGTGGAAGGAACTCACAGCTGCCTCATCCAAGAGCAATCAGGGGCCTTCCTCTTGACACCATTAGCCTTCAGATGAGCCCAGGATTTGGAGACATGCTCTGGATCACAGCCTTCTTAGAGTCAGGGGGATTGAGTCTCTTCAACTGCCAAGCCTGGAGACAAACCACAAAGAAGAAAGTGCATTAAGAAACCCTTCTTCAGAATGAGGAAGTGGGGACTGACTCCAAAGCTCCGATTCAGATCTTTGTCTGCATATGTGGTGTGTCATTAAGGGAGAAAAGCTGGCAGCCAACTCCAGTCACTTACTACTGCACTGGCAGGCAAGACAAATGCAGAGCATAAGATAAATGAGCCACTTCCAAGAGCGAGAAAGTCAATACTATAGAGACCTTCAAACTGGAGGCTGGGGAGCAGCTTGCAGTTCAGCTTGCTGGTGCAGACAGAAAGACAGCTCTGCGTGCTGTGAGCCCTTTAGAATGATACATCCCAAAAGGATACAGGGTGGGCTTGGGCTGAGGCTCACCAGGAGGGATCGCTCGCGCACCATCTGTGTTATGGGGGCTCCTGAAGGCAATCAGAGCCTTACTGAACATCGTATTGCACCAGAAAAGAGGCTCAGTCCAGGCACAGGACAGCTTCCAATGGGACCACAAAGAGCGAGATGAAAAAGAGGATGGTCCCAAACATCCAAAGGATGGGAACAACTCCCTGCTGCAGCACAGAGATGGGGTTGAACATGGCCCTGGGCTCACACACGTGCTCTGTCCGACAGCTGAATGAAAATGCAAACTGATCCACCCAAGGAAAGAAAGCAGACATTGCCCTGCTTTTTTCAATTATATCCAGGTCCAAGGTCAGCGACCCCTTCCCTCCTGCACTGCAGTATCTTGTCACACAAAACCCAGAGAGAAAGGGAATGTGATAAAGATGAAAGTGATGTGGCAGGCTCATATGTGAAAACAATCACCCTTCAATTAAGCGTGATTGATTTCCCAAATCAGAGATGCATCCACCTTCTAACAAATGGATATCAGCAAGGGGCAGATGCTGGGGAATTCAGCATACATACATCAGGGTTGGCAAAGGAATGCACCATGCTTTGGGGCAGACTGGGTTCTCCCACTCTGGTCACCAGAACTGCCCTAATACCCATCAGCAGCACTGCTCTAACCATGAAAGTAGAACTTACAGCTCTCCAGGTACTTTTCCCCTCAGCTCTGCCAGGAGCACTCACCATTATGGCATCTGGTCACAGCATTCTCCCCAGTCCTATGCATTCCTCAGCAATGGGCAAGGGCAGAATTGGCAGCACCAGGGAGGTGTTGAGAAGGAGAAGGGAAGGCAGCACTGCAGACCTTGCACAGTTTGTGGTGGAGAGCGGCTCAGCTTGGGCTGTTATCCCATTTTCTCCCCCCCCCCCCCCCCCCCCCCTCCCCCCCCTCCATCATATTCAGCCTAATACCCCATGTCTCTTCCAGGCCATGAGAAGGAAGGATTTCAGATAAAAGCCTGCACTTGATCCTCCCTTCCTCCCCACAGAGAGAGGGGATGGCCATGAATAGAGAGCCCCTCATGTTTGCAGCAGTCATTTTCACATTAATGGCAGCATATGTTTGCATCGATTCCCACCTGCAGGGCTATGTGTGTGTGCCTGCACCGCCAGCAGCCCCGCGTGTGGGTGCACCAGGTGCTCGCTGTCAGGCAGCACAAAAAGAAGCATCAGCAGTCAGTGCCAGGGGGCCACGCAGGCAGCCCACTCCTTCCCCCTCCCCACCCCCTCCCAGCAGCCCAGCACTTCAATCCAGCATCCCACCCATGGCAGCATTCTCATGTCAGTGCATGAGATCTCCTCCCCTTTTCCTCTGCCTGAATCCCATGCATCCTGACTGCAGGCTCTTTACTGTCCTTGCTCCCCAAGAGCTCAAATAGTCCTTGTAGACAGAGGTTGTGGAGACCCCTTCTGCTGGAGCATCCTCTGGAGGCAGCTCTCACCCTCTACTCAAGCCCTACCATGTCCCAAACCAGCAGTAAGGTCATCTGCTCAGTCTCCACCCCCAGCTCACAATTAGCGGCAGCCTGCCGACTCCTTTTGCACCTTCTCCCCATGCTGAGAAGCCACAGGGCTAGCCCCCAAATACACAATCCCAAATGACATACCCCTGCTTTCAAGAGGTGGAGAGAGCCCTGGCCCCAGCACTCACCCACTCCACTTACACAGCACTGGGCATCCTCCTCCTGTCTCTGCCCTCTCTGGCACACTGAGAACACCAGACCTCTGGCACAAGCGAGGACCAGCAGTGGCTGCACATCTCAGTGCCCCAAGTCCAGACATCCCTGCAACAACACCAGGCACTGCAGATGGGAGCCCTGACCCTGCCTCCTGGTTCACTCCCAGCTGGGGAATTCCCCAGTTCATGGATGCACACGAACTTTTGTCAGCAAAACTTTACACAGAGGAGACCGGGGCCTTCATCTTTTTTTCTGCTCCATTTCTCCTGCCTCTGAAATGGGAGTCGCTGTGTTTCTTTCAGCTGTGCTGCGCATCCATCTTGTCTGCTTAGATGCTGACCTGCCGGGCGCCCTGCAGACACGCTGTGGCTCCAGCAGCAGGGCTGGTGGCTCCCCAGGGGGCGTGGGCACTGCTGCAATCACAGCCAACTCGTGGAGAATGAGAATTAGCAGTGATCCTATGCAGGCTGAGAAGGATCCTCAGGGGGCACAGCTGGGGTGAATGGAAGGAACAAGCCTGTAGGTGCTGCTGCAGCTCAGGTGTGCAATGGCAAGCCTCCTCCTCCCAGTGAGGTGAGGGCTGGAGAATGATCCTGTGCTCTGCTTCCATTACCTGCCAAAAGATTGGAAGCAGCCAGAGCAGAGATGCAAGGATGCCTTGCATGAGCCCTGCAAGGCATTGCTGCCTTTAAACCCACCAACTCAAAAACATATAAAGAAAGCTCTCATGCCAAGCACCTTCTCCCAGTGTCCCCACATCACATGCTCCCAAGCCCACCCCTCCTGCAATAGCAGGGCTGTGGGGTTGGAAGGCTTAATTAATCAGTTAATCAATCCCAAACATTTTAACCCTCCGCATCCTCACTGTGCAGTAGTTTAATGGTTCTTTTCCTTAGCAGAAGTTTTAGCTTGGGTTTGAACATGGATTATTTGCTCACTCCCTAAGACAAAAGTGAAATATAGCCACGTGATTAAAAGTATGTGAATGAGTGTTCATACACATGCTTATCAGTGCCCTCTGTATAGGAGCAGGCTCAGGACTCACTGTGCCTTTCTTCTCCTCTGCACTAGACATCATGAGGCTGAAGTCAGGCAGTGTAACTCCTTCATTCTCTCTCAGCATTTTTCAAGCCACCCCAAATGCACAGAGATGCAAGCTGAAAGACACAAGGAGAAGAAATTGACCTTCTCCTTAGGGTAACATCTACAACATAGAGGCACACACCATATCTCATCTCCTGCTAGGCTGCAACACCTGGATGCTTTTTACAGAACTCCAAATTCTGCTTCTACCCCTACACTGTGCCAGAGCTGCTCCCTCAGCCCTTGAGTTCCTTCCCAAGACCAGCCCAACAAAGATAACCTGAGCTACAATCAACACCACCCAGTTGCAAGCCTTTGTGAAAAGGTTACACACCCTCTCCCCAAGCACCCCAGCAATGCTTGGCACACTGCTGTTCCTTGGGTTTTTATAGTGCCACTTTGCTCTACTAATGAGGCCTCACCCAACTGCCATCCACCCCAGTTCAATTAACAGCTCCATCTGGTGAGGACCAGCACCTGCAGTTCATCATCCCCTTCCCTCCTCCTGTCTGCATCTCCCTAAGTCTTACTGTCCTAAATTTAGCCCCACATCACCCAGTGAAGCCTGGTCCGAAAACTATGACATAGCACAGGAGATGACTGAGGGATGTGATTGATGGGGTTGGGTTGATGGCTGAACCTTAGCTGTCTTTGCCATCCTAAATGATTCTATGGTGTGGAGGGGTGGCTAAGGCAGCCGCCCCACAAGAGCTTCACCCTGCTTTGATTCAGCATTTTTGCAGTCATTTCTGCACCAGCCCAGCTCTGACCCAGCATCATCTCACAAGTGTGACTTCTGTAGGATGTGTGTGGAAGTCCATGTATGCATCGCCATCTCTTACAGCTGGGCAGAGGGAAGGTCACCCCTCCAATGCAGAGGTTAACAGGGTCATGCTTCCTTGTGGACAAAGCCATTGCCTAAAATCAAGCCTCAGACTTGCAGAAAGATAGGCCAGAGAAAACATTAAAAAAGGTCAATGATACTATCAGCTCCTCATCCAATCAGATACTGATTATCTGCACATTCAGTACAGCCGCCCTGCTAGAGCCGTGCTTCGGGAAAAGAATGTCTCCAAAATCCAGACATGGGACTCCTCTGATAGGTGGCACAGCACTGCCACCGACCCTTCTCTTGGAGGGATGAATTTGAGAACAAAAGCAAACAAGGATGTCTGTATTCGATTAAAAGCAGTGTTGAGGCAGCTTGCCTTGTCAGGAGTCCTCCAGCAAGACGTTTTTAATGGAAAATATCATTCTGGCAAAACCAACAGTTTCCATGGGGAAATAACACTTTTACCATGTTTTGTGGGGTGGGGTTTTTTTAATTATTTTTGTTCAGTCTAGAAAAAGCAGCACATTTTGGGAATATTTCCTACTAGCGATGGTCTGGAAACAAAACCTTTCAGTGGGGTGGAAATCTAGCTGGTTTTATTCTGGAACTTGATTGCTTTATGAAGGAGATTATGCGATACGGTCCTGAGACAGCAGGGATGGCTTTGCTCCCCTGGCAGGCGGTCCGACACAGAGAAAAGAGAGTTTGTGTGCTGAGTGCCAGCTGAAAGAGCCATGGAAATCCCCTGCAGCTTCATCCCCGTCTCTCTGCACAAGGAGCTCTCTGAGATTTCCTTGTGCTGATAACAAGAGCGAACCATGGCCACTTTCAAGCAGCAGAACATCAGCCCGTCCTCCACGTTAGCTGTGAGAACAGCTCCTGGGCCGGGCAGCAGTGCCCACTGTCCATGCTTTGGGTTTACAGCTGCTGAACATCTGTGCTTGAGGTTCAGCCATCCTCCTGCAAAGGGCATCTCTTCTACTGCATAACCCCATGCAGACGCGCGTGGTCAGGATTAAGAGGCCATAATCACGTTCGGCTCGATGGGCTTTGGAAAGAGAAATCAAATGAAGGCTGTGAACAAGGATGTCCCCAAGGGGGCTTAATGCAATTTTGCTAATCCACTTGGCGTGTAAATGCTTCACTCAACCTCACCGTTCCTGCCAGTCTGCATAGGATGAAGGAGTGAGCGTGGGATGCAGATCCTCAGGTGAACCCCATTGGATCTGCTTGGGGGAGACTGGGGCCCCTCCTGTTCCCATGGGACTCAGCCCTTCTGGAGGCATCTTTTGGGGAGCAGTGAGATGAGCACAGCTGAAGGTAGGAAGCAGTTTCCCCCTTTAAGTGAGAGAGTGAAGGAGATGTTGGTAAATAGACACATGGTCACTCCATTAATTTCACTGAATAAATCTTTGCTCCCTTCTTCCTCCGATGGCCTGAACTGGAGGCTCTTTGTTGGGCTGCAGGGTGGGCCAGCTGTGAAACATCTTCCCGCTGAGGACAGAGCCCACAGGAGGAGGGAGAGATGCTGGCCCTTCCTCCAGGTCCAAGGTTTTGCTGGTACAGAACCGAAACTCAAGGCAGAAGGTAGAAGGAAAAGTTCCGTGGGACAGACCATAGTGCCTTTGCCAGGGGAAGAGCTGCAGATACTTCTTAACGGGAGGGGCTCACCTTGGACCCAGTGCCTGCAATCCCAATGTGCTCTCTGAGCTGCAGCCACTTAATTCCTCAGTATTTTGGGATATGAGTGTTCTCTTTGTGCAGCAGGCTCGCGGCAGAGGTTGAAGCATCACACTGGCTTAAAGCCCAGCCCCAGCAGCTGACAGGGGGCTGAGGACACCCCCAAATATCACCTCCTCCAGCTGCAACCTCCATCTGGACCAGTGAGGCCACCCCACCAAGGGGGGAGTGGGGAGGTGGGGGGATATGCAGCAGGAGATGCTCTGGTTTCAGCCATGACTGGCACTGTGAGAAGCTGGGGAGAAGGTGAGAAGAGCCCCAGCTCTGACATTCATCCCTCACATCCCCCATCCCACAGGGCAGCTGCACAATCCACCACTTTCCCAGCGCTCGCCCAGGAGGGAATAACGATAATAAAAACAAAATTAGAATGACTCCTTCCCCCAGACTGGGGGGTGGGAAGGGAATGAGCTCTTGGGAACGGCTTGGATTTCACAGCCTACTCTGGCAAACGTGACTTTTCAGAGAGAAAGTCGCCGCCACCGGCTTCTCCTTTGTGTCTGCAGAAGCCTGGTCCTCTCCCAGCCTTCCCCTTGTCACTGGATCCCGTCGAAGGGCTGCAGTCCTACCATGTCTCTGCTAGGGAAGCAGATTTGCTTTCTCTGCTGCAGGCTCTGCATTCCCAACCTCTCCTGCCCCATTTTAAGGAAGCCCCGTGGTCCCCCAGTGATGTAAAGCTTGAGATCTTTTCTTCCTACTCTATGTTTCATTATTGTGACTGCTCCTTATTGATTAATAGAACTGCTTTTGCAAACACCCAGGAATCCTGGAGAATGGTTAGCTCCTACCCCATCCCACTCCTGCACACATGTGCTGCTCCTGCAAAACACAGTGCAGCCCTTGGGGAATCAATCAGCCTGGGAAGATTTGGAGCTGGGTTTTCTGCCAGACAGCCTAGCACAACGCTGGTCCCTTGGTCATGCACAGCTGGGCACATGGGTGCACAGGGCTACATTGTTAGTAATGGACCAAAGGGTTTTAATCTGTGCAGGAAGGGCAGATTGTGGCTCAAGGAACCTTCTGGGAGCTCAAGAATGGGTGGGTGGTTGGGTAGGAAGTAGAAGGATGGCTGGAAGGATGGGTAGGTGGTTGGGTAGTTGGATGGATGGATGGATGGATGGATGGATGGATGGATGGATGGATGGATGGATGGACGGATGGATGGACGGATGGATGGATGGGTGTGTGGGTACTTTTGTAGTTTGGCTGCAGAAGTCGAAAGTCCCAGCCTGTCTGTTTGGTCTGGGGGAGCTTGCTGTCACATCTCGGGAAGACTCAGCTTACTGAAGCAGTCCACAGCAAGATGAGCATCTCAGCTCTGCTCACTCTGGGGAGAGCAAAAGGCCACGGTTACAGGCAGTGGGGTCAAAGTATTGGGCTGGGGACTTCCCATGAGCAAATCACTTTTGCCACTCTGAACTTCTTGCTACATGTGCAAACCCAATTAATCACAATGCAGTGTTCAGGGTTTGTTAATATTAGGACCTGGCTGGTTTCAATGCTGGCTGCCAGCAGACAGAGACTGAGGTGGAACTGCACAGCATAGCAAAGCGCTGGCACTTTTCCTGCTCTCTCTCAGTAGGATTTAGGACAACATCTCCCAGTGTGGTCTGTGGGATGCATTCACCTGTACTGGGTGTTCACTCATACCTACATGCTCAGAAGTAGGAGACAAAATGTGCCCACGGGAGGAGAGGCAGCACTCTATGTTTGCGCCTGAAGCGCCCCAGCCTCTAGCACTGGTTGCCAGCTCAGACCTTTCCAGACAGCTAATCTGGGGTATTTGTGTTGCAGAGCAGATTACTCAGAGCCAAGCAGGGTCACGGTGTCTCCAGGGGTCAGCCCACAGCCACAGCATGAGTACACAGTGTCAGCCTACTGCCCTACATCCCCACGCCCATTTTGCCATGGACCCCTCTGAGCATCTCCCAGCTTCACATCTGGGAGTTCTTCCCTGTAGTGAGAGCAGCTTCGAGGCATGTCCTGCAGCCCCAGCTTCCTGGAGGAGTTATTCTCTTTGTCTCCTTTTCCCTTTTCCAGATCTGACTTAAAACAGAGATTGGGATGACTCATAGAGAGCAAAGATCCCATGACTGTTTTCCCAAGAGCCAGGATATTAGTCCTTGTATCCTGGCCATATTCCAGCTCGGGAAATTACCTTCTGCCTCCCCAGTCCCCCCCGTGGTTTCAATTGGATGCAGGCTTCTTTGTGCTTTTGCTGAAACTGCTGCATGCAGTGAAGCAGCTGCTGCGGGAGGTGGGTGATGGGGTGATGAGGTGACGAGGTGCACCTTGGGGTGCTGGGGCAGAGCACGGGGGAACAGGATCACTACTGCACCCAGCGCTGCTCCTGGCCCCAAACCAGTCTCTGCCCCCAAGCTCAGGCCTCTCTTCTCCCCTTTCCTGCTGCAGACCCAGATGGATTTTAATTTGCTTTCCACCACGTTGCTGGCCAGGCACCATGCACTTGCTTGCGTTCCTTGTACACGCCTGGACATGGGTTCCAT